CTGTATTTGGTTGCCCGCCTAAATAATGTGCATGATGTTCCACAATAAAGCTTCTGTGGTGTATTTTTGCAGAAGGGTTCGATCCCAAATTTGGTCAGGTGGGAAAACAAAGAAATCGTGACATCCTTTAAATTAAGATTTTGGTACCCTTACAATGGCTCGCTTCGACTTGCTGTCTGTAGGAAATAAATGTTTTGATGCTGCGAAATGAGCGTTTTGGTGTACTTCCGCCCACCAGGCCCTCTGGAATTGGGTGTCCTTGAAAATGAAGGTTATGGTGTCGGAAATAGCAGTTTTAGTGTTTCTTGGCCGATTGGGGTGATTCAGGATTTTGTCCAAAGGACAAGGCACGTATATAGCAGTGCCCCTAGAATTTGTTGTCCCGCAAAAATGAACCTTTTGGGACCTTTTGCAATGTCCTGGATGCCCTCTCCTACCCCACCCTCACGATACATCCTATCTGCATTGTTCGATTACAAACCGAATGGGACCATCCAATTTAGACGGTTCTGGCGCATTGCCATCACTCCACTCAATGATGTACCTTCTTTGGCCTCCCGTAACTGGTGTTTCCAGGAGGAGCCCAACAGCCACTTAAAATCGCCGCCTTCCCGCGGCCTCCTGGGGCGGCCTCAAAGCAGTACCATCCGTGGGCACGTGCGGTGTCCACCATAACGGGCAAGTGCTATGGCCAAATAGTGGCTGGCTTTTCCCCAGCAAATGATCCGCCTTTAAACCCAAACGGGATGCAACGTCAGTACCTTACATTTTCAAAAGCTTTGAGACATATACGAAGAAACATTACTAAAATACAAACGTTCACTTGCTGTTCCTTGCCATGCTCAAGAGCTCATCTCTTGCTATCTCAATCTGCTCATCTTCAAGAGACGAGCTCGTGGGGATGAACGCAGCTCATGATATTGAATACCGTCAATGAACTCGTTGTTAAGCCCCTCAATGCCGTTTAACCAGTTTCTCCTGAAAATATCTAATGTCGCTAACTCAACGTAAGACTTGAGCTCATAATACCGAAAAACCAGGAGCTGTAGGACTTCCTTTCTTATTCTATGCACAAATTATTACCGCAGATATGAGTAGACAAAATTAGTAAGGAAATGCGTCTCGGAAACAGGATTGGCAAGGCTCGTTGGATTACCCTTCCTCCCCAATCAAACAGCGCAAGTTATGCACATGAAATCGTAAATAGTTTCTTTAAAGGGATTGTCCCACATTTATATGGGGGTTTGAACCGAGATAACCATCCTGAACACTTTTTGCTACTGTTTACGATCGTGCCATTCTTAAGATCTAGGCCCCTATCGTTTCTGAGCTATACGCCCGCGAAAATGGGAAAGCTATATTGGGGAGAGCATGTCAGTCACATTGGCGTGCATGACGTCATAATGACGTCATTCAAATCCTGCTATTCCATGAGCCATGAGGCGATCAGGGCCAAGTCAAATGAAGCTATCGAGGCGTTCATATCTGGCGTTTGTAATCACGATTCCCAGATATCCCAGCCTCAATCGTTGTTGGCATGATGCCGTAATCAAAACATGACGCATTGAGGAGCATTTTTACTCAACAGAGAATTATGCTGCCTAGAGCAGTCGTTTCCATTAAAAGGTGTACCAATACTTATAAGTGAGCTTGTTTTATCGCATATGCTGCTTGCTTCAATATCTACAAATATAAAACATACCCTTTAAGCTGAGTCTGCAAATGAACTGATGCGTGACCAGGGAATCCAGATACAGTTTAACGCACAGTGAGAGCACACATTTTCGGGGCCCGTTTAAATCAGTTCGTAGAAGGCTTCAAAGGCGCGACGTCTGTACTTTCCGGCGGAAACTCTATGGGTAATGCAACAGTTCGCGTGAACTAATATGGCCTGCCGGTTGAACTTCATGGACCATTTGAATTCAGTCAGCAATCCAGATTTATCAAACAACTCCGTGCATCCCGTGACTCAACGGCAAGACGCCGTCTCAAGCCGCCGTCCTGCCTCCAAACCTCGCTATTCATGGTCTTTTAGCCCCACCACAACAGGCTTGCATTACTTGCTTGTACTTATCTAAGCTGTACCTTTGCTAGTGGTAACCATGCTGTCCTGACAAAGCTGCAGTGGCATGGCGTTGATCCGAAGTGGTTTGAGAGCTACCTTGCTGGCCGGCGGCAGAAGGTGAGAGACGGTCGTCTTTCTCTTCCGCTGAACCACAGCGTCCTCCAGGGATCCTTGGTCGGGTCTATCCTCTTCAGCATCTTCACGAACTACCTTCCATCTTACCTCCCTCACAGACGTCTAGTGTGCCCGCCCATGCAGGCAAACAATGCGTTTTGAAATGCTTGCAGGAGGGAGCCATCCGAGTAATTCAATCCTGCTTCACATCAAACTCCCTTAAAATGACTTCCGCCAAAACAACCCTTCTCTTCCTTAGTACTCCACAAGCCCTAAAAAATCGTCATCGTTAATCCTTGACATTGCGGGACACAAATTAAGCCCTTCGTAGTCCGTGAAGATGCTGGGGGACACTGTGGAGAGCAGCCTTTCCTGAGCGATGCACATATCCCACGTCGTCAAAAAGGACAACTCCATCCTTTTTTTGCTTGCATAGAACTTGTCATCATCTCACACCCGAGGTTAATTAACTTCTCATCCATTCCCATATTTTCCCCATCCTCCATACTGCCTCTCAGTCTAGGGTGAGGCTGCAGCGTGCCACCTAAGCAAAGTGCAAGGGGTGCTGAACTTTTTGGCCAGAATCGTCACCGATTCTCGTCGGCGGAATCCAATGGCGACGACTATTCAGGCGCTGGGGTGGCGCGGTGTTATTGACTTTGTCACCCACCATGACGGCCTCGCTGTATTCAAAGCCCTTAATGACTCACGGGCTTCGGTGTCAGTCCGGCCCCCATTCACCCCACGTACCGCTACATGTCAACGTGTCAGGGCGGCAGCGGCGGGCGCCCTTGATCTGCCCGCTCTTCGCCTGTCGGTGGCACGCACGGCTTTTTCGCGTCGCGCGGCCTCATCCTGGAGCTGCCTGCCGCTGACCATCAACGCCTCCAGCACCCGCAATGAGTTGCACATCAGGCCAGAGGATTAAGACGGCCCGTCGTGTAATCATTGCTTGTTTGCCGTCGTGTAATATGTGTTGAAGATTTAGATTTAGATCAATGATTCTGTTTCGGCGAAGTTACGTGAACGACTGGGTGTTTGATAGCGCGCGAAGGTGGCCGCGTCGTTGTCATGCTTTGATGTTGTATTCATAATTATATGGCTACTGTGCCGAATCAAACAAGAAGCCTTTTGTTGGAATGAGTCTTGAATACAATGAACTGAACTGAACTAAACTGAACAACCAAGCATGGACACATGCAACAGGCCATACAACTCACAGCTGTATGCGTGTTCCGTTGTATGACGCAGTATTTATACAGCCAATGCGATGGCCTTGGCTCGAACAGACCCCCTATGATCTTTTAACAAGTCCGTAAAACCCCAGCAGCCTGAAGTCACATACAAGGAAGACGCACGAGCCGAAATACGTAACGAAAAAATTACGCGTTTTTAAGCCAATTAACTGAAGGCGCAGGCTTAATTACCATCGGTTTCGAAACTGAAATGAACCAGCCCCGCTGGTTTAGTCATGTCAGCAACGTCCAGAATGCACCGACCCGTAAACTATTTACAATGTCGGGCATTTAGATCGCTGTTTGATCCCATCTTTGACATCAATATCTTGCTCAAAGCTCTTAGCTTTGCGGGTATGATTACAGAACAACGGAACAAGAATAATTGGACTGCTAGGATGGCCACTTCCACCACCAAAATGCACACCCTGGTCACCAACTGAATCAGCCAGCCGAAATATTCATTTGTGGTCACCAGCAAGCTGGTTCATCACCAACGGTGCCAGCTGAAATTTGGTATGGTAAGCCAACCGGGCATCAGGGCTAAACCCTCCGATTACAGGTGGAGGGGCATGAGCAATCACCAAAAGAAATCAGATCGCTGCCTAAAGCACAGCTTGTCACCCTCCGTAGCTTAATTGGCATCAGCTCCTGGCGATACCAATGTACCCGTGGCGGTATGGGAGTTCGAGCCTCTATGCACGCACCCACAGAGGATGATCAAACACCCAGGCTGATCAAACACGGGAGGGAGAGGAGCATCCCGCGATAGCCCATCACGTAGAGGCGGTGGTGGGATGGTCCCCTGCAGTCTTGATCTTGGCTGCGCGTATGAGCGCTTGCCATTTGACTTCCGACTTGGATTGCCTGCGGCCGGCGGCCAGTGGCAGAAGCTGTTCAATGTCAGGAAGGTCAAAGGGCAGGGGAGACCGTGCCGGCTGCTCAGCGTTGGTGGTGGTGGTCTCGGACCTGCATGGACGCCTTTGTCGTCCCAGGGACCCCCGGCAGGCAGCGACGAGTCGCTTCGGCTGACCTTTGGAGGCCACAGCCTTCGCCCCGGGGTCGTCTCCCGGCCAGCCCTCGGATCCTCTAATCGGGCCCTTGATAGTCTGCGCCGAGGGTCCCGAAAGTCACTCAGGGCCTAGCGGGAGGATATGTCCCCTGTGGCGCCCTTCCTCCCGGTTGGCTGCGCCCCTGGGTGTGTAGGTATGTACGAAACTCAATGCCAGTCAGCGACTCGCTCTCAGAACGCAACTCCTATGTGAGTGATGGTGTCTGCGCCCCAAAACATTCGCAAATGGAAGCCAGAATGGCTTCAAAATAATGTTTTTTTTTGCTTGCGCGCTAAACATCATAGATTTGGGCACGAATTCTTGATTTCCTACTATATCTTGGTAAGTTGCTTCACCTATTTGGTAGACCCTCAGCCAGTCTGGTGAATATTATTCTCACTGGATATTTCCTTCGTGTATTTGGTGACTTGAGTAGGCATTACGGTTAACAATTTCGTTAACCGGTGGTGAAAACGTGCATATTGGTGGCAATAATCTAACTGGTAGTGGAATGCCAATTTTGGTTGTGATTGGTTTAATCTGGTAGAAATATTCATTTTGGCTCACTAATTCATCTTTGGCGACTGGTTAATAGAGAGCTCAGAACAACTGAGGAATATCGACCCGTGTTGTTAGGATTTGAATCCTATGGCATCCGAAGATTTGGTGGTTCTGAAACCTCTGTTGTTTTCCGTTTTCTGGTGTAATAAACGTATGACGCGAATCAACAAGTATATTGTTCCCCTCGTTCGGGAGGTAGATGTGGTGCATCGATGACATCGAGTACGGCCATAGCATAACATGCTACAAGTAACAACACGCTCAGGAAAGCATATACATACATCATGCTGCGATGGTTTAGTTCTTTGGTATCAGTTACCATGCACCACTGCCTAGCGACAACATAAGTTGTTCGCCACGGCGACGGCGACTTCTTCGTTGTTCCTTCCCCCATCACCGGATGACAGCCGCATTAATCAGTCGTGACCCAGCTCCTGTCACCCGGAGACGTCACCAGACGCCTGTGCATCGGCTCAGCTGAACAAGAAGCCTCCGCGGCGGCCTGCCAGCGACGGGACGGGGGCGGCTGGCGCCCGGCGAGCGGCCAGCGCCTGCAGACCGAGCAGCGTCTGCCGGCCCTCCGCCTGCACGTCACGGCCGCCGATGCGAGGGCCCAGGTTGGCGCGACCCTGCAGGGCCAGCAGGTCGTTGGGCGTCTGGAACAGCGCCGGCGCCGGCGCGGCGGCAGCTTGGTTGCGGAAGCCGGGGCTGGACGTGGTGGAGGGCGGCGCGGCCCGGTCCCTGCAGCAGACGCCAAGCCGGCCGCTACTCAGGCGGCACCTGACGACGCGGCCCGACTGGCGCAGGAACGGACGGCCGCAGTCGGACGTCGGCTGACAGCCGCAGGGGTTGGCGGCGACGGCAGCCGCGCTCAGCGCCAGCAGCAGCAGCACCTGCGGCGCACGGCCAGCGGCCGTCAGACACGGCCAGCGGCTCACACATTCACGGCAGGGCGCTCGGCCGTTGCTTTAAGACGTTATCATCCGAAAGGGGACGTGACAAGACTGGCACCAAATAGAATGATCACAGAGGCTGGGATGGCTGGGGTGTTGCGATGCATTCATTATGTAAAATCAGGTTATTTAGCGTCAAATGTTCTCACATCGCATGCGCAGGAGGTAGAGAAACTCTTAGCTGAGAGCCAGACACAAGTCCGTGCCTCCTTCGCCGCTATGAGCTGAACCCTCTCATAAAGAAGCTTCACCGTCCCCATCAAAACCACAGGAACATAAGAAACAACAACGGGGACATAGACCATGAGCCCACCTGAGTTAGCTTCATCTCGAGCGGTTGGTATCGCCGCTTCTCTTGGAGGTTGAGCGGGCTGACGTATCTCTGCAGTTGCAGAGCGTGCACTGATCTCTGGTGGCGGGTGGAACCTGTTTATATCAGCCGGGGACCGGCGCCCACGGTTTCCTGTTGCGTGACAGCACGGAAATTCCTAGGAAACGCTTTACAAACAGCGCGTCAGCCGGGCGGCCCGTCGAGTAACGCGTAGGCGCGGGCTCCCCGTCAGCCGGCCTCCTGGCCGTAAGGGGCGGCGTAGCAGGGGGCCAGAGAGGGCAGTTGCCCCCCTGCTTGCCAGCAGGAGGGGAAACGTATGTTTTTCTCTTAATTGTTGGGGGAATCCCTTTTCCCAAACCAATGGATTGTAGCTATCGTAAATTACCAAAAAACGCAGATCAGAGAGGCCTTCAAAATTGAGCTAGAGGGAAAAAATTGGGCTCCGGAGACTTTTCTACATTGAGAGGCACATATTCTGACATATTCTGACGCAGTCTTTATGAATCAGGTAGCCCATGCTCTAGATCAGTTGGCCCAATGCCGCGTCAAAGAGGCCCCTTTACTACAATTCTGTCAAGAGGGGATTTTGTTAGCAATTTAATAAGGGGGCACGTGTCCCTGAGGGCCCCTTCCTCCTTAGACATGACAATTTCCAGGAGGCCTACTGTAAAGTGACCCTACTTTAGCAAATCCTACCCCCCCTAACTCAAAAACTGTGTGGCCACCCCTGCTGGCCATACCAGTGCCTCCGGGGAGTTACCGCGTGTGTGGGCTAAAAGTGGCAGGGTGGCCAATTCTAGCACAGCTGCTGCCGCCATCGACAGTGATATGTTCCCGCACGATTGAGCAGGAGGAACACATCAGGCCTCTATGTAGATTCTCCTACGCACGATCCACTGGTGCCTTGTTAATGTTCATATTCACCGCGGCCGACTCGCGACTCTCCAAATTTTCCGAATTCATATTGATTTAAATGATCTTTTTCAGGTATAGTCGCAAGATGAGATTCTTAAAACATATAAGAGGCCAAACCCCAAAATGATAAGCTGGGGCAGGTCGGGTGAGGGGGCGATGCCACGGGTGTCGATTTGTATTCGTGGGCGGGGAGAGGGGGCACTGCCCCCCAATGTTCAATCTGCCCCCCCCCCCAACGGCGAGTTTGCCTCCCAACCTTCTGGAACTCAAGTTC